TTGTAGAGGATGGATTTCTAGGAAAAAGGGCTCAGTTTTCAACATGTCTGGCATTGTGTCTGCTAGTTCCCTTAGTGGGTGTAAGTCCAGGCTTGGGCTTGAGTTTTAAGTATGGTTCCTTTGGGTATTCTACCTTTGACTCTTGGCCTTTGCTCTCAATGACAATACCAAGCAAGCCCTTGCTAAATTGCTAAGAACTTAACAGTAAGCTTTGACCTGTACCAAGGACTCCCTATGATACAATCTTTGATCCAACTGCCCTAAGAAAGAGGCATGTTGGTGGAAGTATTAAGGCAATGCCACGTAGTTAAAAGGGAGGTTTATTTTGTGGGGTAACTTACAAGTAAAGGGATAGGTTACCGGGTCCGGGAAAGGTGTGGTGCGGTCCAGGGGTGTTTTCTGGAGAACTCTGCTTGGTCTACCTCCAGCATCCAGGATCCAGGAACCAAGAGAGCTGGTTTATCTGGATCTCAAGTCTTAATGGCTCCTCTCTTGGCCCCGCCTCGTAGGCGTGACAGTTACCAGAAGCCTCAGTGGGGGTAGTACTTCCAGGTCAAAGCTGGAACAGCTACCCACTACAGAGGCATGGCCCATTTTACAGATGAGGAAACTCAACCAAGGCTTGGGGAACAGCTCAGTTACTAGACTGCTTACTGCAAAAGTGAGGACCTGTTGAAAGCTAGGTGCTGGGCCTAGAGACAGCATGGTAGTTAGGAGCACTTGCTCTTATAGAAGCCCCAGCTTTGATTCCCAATCCCCACTCAGGCAGCTTAGAGCTGTCTGTAACTAGTTCAAAGAGGATCCAGTACCCTCTTTGCTCTCCACAAGCACTGCACACGGTGTACGTGTGGAGACTCAGGCACTCAAGCATTTTTATCTTTTAAAGATTTATTTTTATAGCAGGCATGGTGGTGCACAACTTTAATCCCAACAACACTCAGGAGGAGGCAAAGGCAAGGGGAATCCCTGAGTTCATGACCAGCCTGGTCTACATAGTGATTCCAGGGGCACATAGTGAGATAGTCTTTGAAAACTAAGTATGTATGTGTGGATTTATGTATCCATGTGTACAATACCCATGGATGGCAGAAGAGGGTATCAAATCTCCTGGAACTAGAGGTAGTTGTGAGCCCTCACTATGTGGGTGCCAGGAACTGAACCCAGGGCCTCTCAGAGCAGCAAGTGCTCCCAGCCTCCAGCTCCAGGGGACTCAGTGCCCTCATCTGGCTTACACTGTCACCTGTACACACACATGGCATACACTGACGGACAAAACACATAAGACCTAGCAGGCATGAAGCACTGGGTTGGATTCCTAACACCACATGAACCTTGAATGATGGCACACATTTGTAATCCTAGCACTTGGAAGGTATAGGCAGAGGGATTAGGAGTTCAAGGTTATCTTCAGCCACTTTGGTTCAGGACCAGCCTGAGCTATGTGAGACCCTGTCTCCAAAAAAGAAGTTTGCAAAAATCAAACAAATTTGTTCTTGAAGATGAGTTCACTGAACTAGGGCAAACTACTTTGAGGTCATGTGATTCAGAGTAAGTCTTGAGCTTCTACAATGCATGGATAAAAAGCATCCCAAATTCTGTTCTTGTCTGAAAGCTCCTTGAGATTCCAAGAATTTAAAATTTGACTGTACCTTTATAGAGCAGTGGTGATGGAAAAGTCCTAGTTTATTGTAACATTAAAACTGTCTAGTGAAGATGTTTTGATAACGTGATTAAGTTGTGTGTGTCCGTCCCGTGTCGTGTCGTCGTCCGTCCGTCCCCCCGTCCGTCCCCACCCCCACCCCCCGAGCTGAGGACCCAACCCAGGGCCTTGCGCTTGCTAGGCAAGTGCTCTACCAATGAGCTAAATCCCCAACCCCGAGATTAAGTCTTTATGGGTAAAAAAATCCTGCTATGTACTGAACTCTGTTGGGTCATTGCTCTTGTCTTCTGGATACTTGGGCCTTGCTTACCCACACTTCAGCATTTATGCAAGGGACATGCTCAGATTAGAAAGTCCAGCAGCAACTGGTGTTCTGGGCTATTAACTGGTAGTTCTCTGAGAATAAGTTCTGTAAATTACACTGCCTAAGTCTTTCCAGTCTCCAGCCTGTGAAATGTCACTTCCCCTACATATCTTTCCTCTCCATCTGCATGCACATCGTTCACCACTAACCTCTTTAAAAAGGCACTTTTACCCCACCTGCACTATATACTGTTTTGTCCCTCCACTTTGAGAGGCTTCCTGACCCATTCAGGCCGAAGACAAGAGTCCCTGCCATGGTGTCCCACAAGGCCTGATGCTTGGTGGACCTGTGGCACCCCCCTGAGAGCACCTCAAGTTGTGTGTCCAATTTCAATTTCAAGGACAAGAGTATGGCAACAACACTAAGAACTAGGAAAATAAATATTCTTACAAGGAAATGATTGCTGGGAAAGGGATCCAGCTGATTAGCTATGCAGGGCCCAGTCATGGTCCACTGTGATGAGCATGTATTCAAAGGATGTGGGTGTGCAGAGGTTGGGCTAGCGATGGTTCAGTGAGCAAATGCTTGCACAAGCATGAAGACCTGCTTTAAGCCCCCCAGCACCCATGTAAAAACTGGACATCATAATGCATACCTGTAACCGTGGAGCGAGGTGGCACAGTTCACTGGCCAGCCAGACGACCTGAAGTAGTAGCTCCAGATTAAGTGAGAAACCATGGAGAAGCAATTGGGAAAGACATTTCAAAATCAACCCCTGGCTTTCAAGTGTGTCCACATCGTCAAGCACACCCACACATACAAGTGCACAGACGCATAACAATACTTAGTCACACCCTGTCTTTTAGGGACTTTCTTTCCTTTAACTTGATTTGGCTCTCTTGAGTGACAGAAGATATGGCATGCAAGTTGTGAGTGACATGATGTGACCTTCATGATGATAACTGTACAAACAGCCGGACACTGCCACTGAAAATTCTAGAAGTCCAAATGATGAGGGAGATTATTGTGGAGTACTGGGTCAGGAGGTGATTTCAAGGAACTGGGTCAGACCAGGGTGTACAGTGGGAGAAGTGGGCTGGTGCTCTTCTATTCTGTCCTGAGAATTTATTAATATGTTTATCTTATAAACAAAGTACAACAAAGCATAAACTACTTATTATATTCTGGCACAAACACTTCAAAGTTGGTTTTGTTTTCTCCTTAAAACCTAATAGGAAGCCGGGCGGTGGTGGCGCACGCCTTTAATCCCAGCACTCGGGAGGCAGAGCCAGGCGGATCTCTGTGAGTTCGAGGCCAGTCTGGTCTACCAAGTGAGTTCCAGGAGAGGCGCAAAGCTACACAGAGAAACCCTGTCTCGAAAAACCAAAAAAAAAAAAAAAAAAAAAAAAAAAAAAAACCTAATAGGAAGTTTAGAGGTTGAACAGGATGGCAAGAGTAGACAGCAGGTGGGTGACCCTGCAGCCCCTCCATGAGTTTGTAGCACCAGGCACACCTGCGTGACCCAGACCTTCTAATGGATCTAGCCACCCCCACAGCTCACCACCCATAGGAGCTGATAACCACTTATCGAGGATTGAACCTGCAGTCCCCAGTACTGATCCAGACTGCTTCCGGTTTGCTTTTTCCCTTTGTATTTTTTTTGTATTTTCAGCTGCCAGATCCACTGAAACCAAACCCATCATTTTCCTCCTAGGGTAGAAAGGTTTCACCCTCAGCCTTTTCCCACCCTCTTCAACATAGAAAGTAGGACCATCTCTCTGGTCCAACATACCCTAAGTGTGTCTTTGTTTCCCTTGAGAAAACTTAAAAAATTGAGACAGCCTCATGTGTTTCTCAGACTGTATGTGAAGATAACTCCGAACTTCTGATCTCCTGCCCCTACCTACTGAGTGCCAGGAAGGTTGTTATTTTGTTGTTTTTGTTTTGTTTTGTTTTGAGACAGGATCACTTGTAACCAAAGCTGGCATAGAACGAGTTCAAGGCTGACTTTGAAATCTTGATCCTCCTGCCTACTCCTCCCACGGGCTGGAATTACAGGCAAGAACTACCACATCTAGCTTAGCATGCCTGTTGTCTTAATGAGATCCCTCAAAAGAATAGCAGGACCTGACTCAACAGGGAAGTATCCAAAAGCAGCCAGTCATGAGAGTGAGGATCCCACACCTAAACTAGAATAAGACCACTTGGAAGAGGCAGCTCTGTGCTGGTGGGGGGGCTACACCATACAGCCAATCCAGAATCCCAGTAGCCTTCACTCTCCTAGCAACTCCAACAGTGACAGAAAAGCTAGCATTTTGGGTCAAACACCTTGGTTTGAGTCTCACGTCTACCACTTTAGCTAAGTTACTCAATCTTGCTGAACATGTTTTCCTCATCTGAAGAAACAAAGTTTACATAGTTGTGTTGATCTTATTAAATACGTGAAGTGTGCTTTGCAGTGGGTGTTTTTCACTGCTGCCTACAAAGTAAACAGCATAAAAAATTGTTTTTCATTATAATCCAGGATATATATGTAAATATAAACAACTGAGACAAAACTTTCACAAAATAATACTAGGTACTACAGGGTCTTTTTCTAGTCATATTTTTAAATTTTTTGTGATGGCTGTCTTGTTGCATGTGATCTGTGCATCACGTGGGTGTCTGAGAAGCCAGAAGAGGGAGTCTGGCTTCCGATTCCCTGAAACTGGAATTACTGATGGGTGCGAGCGCCATATGGGGCTGAGAATCAACCTTGGGTCCTCTGCAAGGGCAGCAAGTGCTCTTAATTGCTGAGCTCTTTCTGGCCTCTTAACTTTTTTAATGTGGGTTGCAGTCCACTACGTTGTGTTGACAACTCCTATTGGGTAATTTCATAAAAGAACTGTTGGGAAATAGAGAACTGTTAATTATGACAGCTATTAATATGACCTGCTGATGCTCTGATTCCTCTATGAGTCAAGCCCCAGGGCTCAGGTCGGCTCGTGGCACGGAAGGCCCGCCTCCTCCCCTAAGGTTAGACGAAGAAAGCCGGAACTGGAGGCTCAGGCGGTGACGTAGACTTCCGGTTTGGTGGCCTTAACGCGCGCGCGGCTGTCGCGAGGACTCGGGGGTCGTTTGGCCCGGTGGCCCGGCACCTCAGCTCTCAAGAGCGCCATGAGGTCGGTTAGCTACGTGCAGCGCGTGGCCCTGGACTTCAGCGGGAGCCTTTTCCCGCACGCCATCTGCCTCGGAGACGTCGATAACGACACAGTGAGTGCATGCGCACTGCAAATGACTGCATTTGGGCGGGGCGAGAGGTGGGAAGTGGCTTGTGGTGCGCGTGCGCACTGGAGCCAACATGGCGTTTGATAGAGAAAATCTTGATTGACAGTTCCAGTCCTTTAACAACACTGCTCGCGGCTTAACTGGGCTAGAACCTCTGGAATAGTTCTTTTTTATTTTTCAATTTTAAAATTTACGTGTAGAATGTTTTTGCCTGCATGTGCGTCTATGTGCCACGTGTGCATTGCCCGTGGAGACCAGAAGAGGAACATTGAATGCCCTAGAAGTGGAGTTACAGACAACTATGAGCTGCCACGTGGGTGCTGAGAATTGAACCCTATTCCTCTGGAAGAGCAGCTAGTGTCTTAACCGCTGAGTCATCTCTCCAGCCATTTTATTATTATTATTATTAAATAATAATAATAATAATAATAATAATAATAATAATAATTGTAGTGGATAGTTGGTCCTCTTGCCCAGTTCAGTGACTTACCTTGTAAAGCAGTGGTCAGGTTTCCTGTATTATTGCTTCCCCAAGTCCAAATACCCTTTCAAATTCTTTACCCTTCAAAGCCCAATTGTTGTTGTTTTGTTTTTGGAGACCGGGTTTCTCTGCAACAGCCCTGGTTGTACTGGAAAGGCTTTGTAGACCAGGTGGCCTTGAACTCACAGAGATCCGCCTTCCTCCGCCTCTCAAGGGCCGAGATTAAACGCGTGCACCACCACTGCCCGGCACCCCGATTTTTTTTTTTTTTAATCAGTAAATTTCACGTAATAATATCGTGCTACCAATGGCTTTGCCCCTCCCGTCCTCTGTGCTACCAGGCTTGCGCACTTGCTGCTATTGCCCTTGGCTCCCGCACTGGAATCGACCAGTAGACTTCTCTGTTGCCACCAGTTGGCCGCAGATACCCCACAGTCTTGATCACGCCAGGTTCTACTGTGCCTACCCAGAATAAACTCAGGTGTCTGGCGACTTTGTAGTGCTACTCCGTTGTTGAATTACAAAAGCAATTTCCACCAACTCTTTTCTTTCCTAGGCAGTTGTTCCTTTTTAGATTCAGCAGGTGAAACGCATCGTTTCACATCCTGGCATACAGTTAAAGATCTGGAACTGTTAGTGTTATCAGTATTAGCAGCCGTCCCAGTCCCAGTGTTACGTGTCCAGGATTCACCAGACCACATAGGAAATATTTCAAGAGGAAAGAAATGGGTCTGTACTGAACATGTTCAGATTTCATTTATTGACACCATTACCTAAACAGTACGGCATAGCAACTACAGCCCTAATGAAGGGAATGCTTTTGAGGAGTGCATTGTTGGGTTACTTTGTAGTCCTAACATCGTAGTGTGTGCTTATACGAACCTGAATGTTATTTATCCTGACATATGGAGCCCACCGTTGACCAAACTATATGCAGCACGGGTCTGTATTCATATAGCCCTCGAGATGATTTAAAGTATGTGGTAGCAGACTGAGGATGTAGCTATCAAACACTTGCCTAACCGTGAACAAAGCCCTGAATTGAATTCTTGATACCACAGCAATAAATAAAAGAGTAAGAATTAAGTTGGGCATGATGGCACACTCCTTTAGTCCCAAAATTTGGGAGGCAGAGGCAGACTGAGTTCAAGGCCAGCCTGCTTGACACAGCAAGTTCCAGGACAGCCAGAGAAACCCTGTCTCAAAAAAAAAAAAAAAAAAAAAAAGTAAAATGTCCAAGGGGTTATGTCCAAACACTACTCTATGGTTACAGAGTTCCTGTAACCACGCCCCACAGATACAGAGGTTCAACTCTAATTTATGTGTCCTTATTTTTCTTACCTACATTGTGAGCGCCATTACTATAAATTCCATAAAGATGGAATTTGTGTGTGTGTGTGTGTGTGTGAGAGAGAGCACCTGAAACTGAAGAAATGGTTGTGAGCTGACATGTGGATGCTGGGAACCAAAACTGGTTTTCTGCAGGAGTAGCGAGTGCTCTAAACCACTAGGCCAATCTCTTCATCTCCCACACTCAATAATTTTAAAATTGTATTTACTTACTTATTTGCACGTGTGAGTGACAGTGAGCGCACACACATGCCGCGGTGCACATATAGAAGTCAAAGGACAACTTGCAGGAGTTAGTTCTCACATCTACCATATGGATGCTGCCCAGGTACCAAACTCAGGTTTTTGATATAAAATTGTTAGGAAAGGCAAGTGTGAAAAACAAAATCTTGTATAATGGAGGTGCTGGTTCCAGTGCTATTTTAAAAAAAGACAAAGCAAATGTGATTGTTCCACAGCCATGTGAAGAGCTCTGTGTGTTCTTGGGGGGAAGATGGAAGAAGTTGAAAAAGTTAGCTAGTTAGCAAATGATCAGCTCTAGTACATGACTGTTGTAGGTAAACATTGTTATGGTAGGGCACTTGTCTAGAATGTATGAGGCCCTACATTCCTTCCCCACCACCATTCCAAAAACGAACAAAGAAAGAGAAAACATCGTTGCTAAGCATGGTGGTCCACATCTGTAATTTCAGCAATCAGAAGGGAGAGAGGCAGGAGATCATTGCAAGTCTGTGGCCACCTGATCTGCATAACAGATTCCAGGCCGTCCAGGACTACACAGTGAAATGCTGTCTCAAAACTACCAATAAAACATGGTTTGTGTGCCGGGCAGTGGTGGTGCACGCTTTTAATCCCAGCACTCAGGAGGTATGGGCAGGTGGATCTCTGAGTTTGAAGCCAGCCTGGTCAGTCCTGAGTTCCAGGACAGTCAGGGATACACAGAGAAACCCTGTCTCAGGGGAAAAACAACAACAACACATGGTTTGTGGTCCTCAAACATTTGGAGCTTTGAGAGTGGAGACAAAGATTGATTTCAACCTGATAAACCCTTAGCTTAAAGGTCTCTAAAGCTGATTTATTTCCTGCTGAGGTGGAGGGGAAGCCAGGACTAAAGCATGCTTTTGGACCGCCCACAGAAGCCTAGTTGGATGTGGCCCAGCAAGCCTTTGGGAGGCTGCAGCAGATCTCAGAGAGATTACACCTTCTCACTCAGCACTCGTGAACACGGTGGACCTTCCCTCTGGAGTCCTTTAGTGTCACCGTGTGACTGGTGAGGCCAGAGCTAAGCTGTCAGAGCAGCAGATCTGATGAGAAGCATTCAAGGGTTAGAAAGCAGACAGCCACCCTGGAAACATCTCTCCCACATGTTGCCTCCAGCTGCCTGAGTCACATCTGCTTGCTCAGTGTACTTACCGTGCTGTTTTATGATTCCTTTTCTGTGTCTGTGGCTCTGCAAAACAGAGATCCTGCTCAACAAGGAGGCCGCCTGGAAACTGGGAGGAGGGCTGACTGAGCATTTTCTTTCATTTCTACTTTGTTTTTCTTTGATGAAGTCTCACAGTGTACCTACCCCAGGCTGGTCTGGAATTTGCAGTCCTCCCCTCCTTCCTCCACCTCTGGGCACTAGGCTTATAGGCATGCACACCATTGTAGGCGCCTCTCGGCATTTGATACATGAAAAGTGTAAACAAGGACAGCAGATAAAGGCGCTTACCACCAAGTCTGGTGACCTGAGTTTGATCTCTAGGACCCACATGGTAGAAGGAGAGAGCTGATACTTACAAGTTGTCCTGCACATACACCACATGGCACATATATGTGTGTGCATGGACACACACACACAAGTAAATAAATGTCTGTAATTTTAAAAATATTTGTTTTGGAAGTACAAAGACAATTTTATTAGAACTTAAAAGAAAAATCTGGCAGGCACGCTGTCAAACAGCAGCTGCCTGAGGTGGAGAAGGGAAAGGCCATGCATGCCATTTTATCCGGAAACGAGGTCAGACACGTGACACACAAGCAACTGCATGGTGAGAGGGGAGCTTTAGAGAAAAACCAAGGAAGCCTGAAATGCCTTTTAAAAGCTCCAAGTGTTAGGGAAAGCATGCACAGGGAAGACAGAATGGCAAGGAAAAGTCGCACTTTTCTGAATAATCCAGAAAAGTAGGCAGACTTACAACCCTACATGGATATGGCCTGTAAGTTTCTGCTGTAAAATTTTTAAGAAAAGTGTTATCAAGGTTGGAGAGGTGGCTTGGCTAAGAGTACTGGTTGCTCCTCCAGAGGGCCCCAGTTTTAGTCCCAGCACTCAAGGGCTCACAGCTGTCTGTAACTCCAGTTCCAGGGCCTCTGACAGCCTCTTCTGACCTCTGAGAACACCAGGCGTGCATATGGTGCACAGACGTACATTGCAGGCAAAACATCCATATACATAAAACAAAAATAAATCTTTCAGAGAGAGAGAGAAGCCAGGTGTGGTGGGGTACACCTTTAATCCCGGTACTCAGGAGGCAGAAGCGGCCCATCTCTGTGAGTTCAAGGCCAGCCTGGTCTACAGAGTGAGTTCCATAACAACCGGGGCTACACAGAGAAACCCTGTCTCAAAAAACCAAAGAGAGTGAGAGACAGGAGTGAGAACGGCATCAGAAAGACCGTGTTAAAGTCCAGCAGCTGCGCCCTGACCCCCACACTATGAGTCCACTCTCCATGGTGTCTGCAGAACTTCTCTCAGGTGCCTGGCTGTAACTGAGACCTCAGCCGTGGGGGTTTGTAGAAAAGCAGAATATAGGCTTCTATAACCTGATACTCCCTTTTTTGTTTTTCTTTTTGTATAACTTTGCACAAAACTCCCATAACTATTAAAAATACATCTTTAAAAGTCAAATAATTACGTCAATCCCACTTTGTCTCACATTTCTTTTTTTGTGTGTGTGGGGGGTTCCCTCAAATTGCTGGTCTCAAATAGCTGGCTCTAACAGATCCATGTCACACCACATGAAGCTCCGTTACTGTTGTTGATCTCTCTCTCTCTCTCTCTCTCTCTCTCTCTCTCTCTCTCTCTCTCTCTCTCTCAGGGTTTCTCTGTGTAGTTTTGGTGCCTTTCCTGGATCTCGCTCTGTAGACCAGGCTGGCCTCAAACTCACAGAGATCCGATCTGCCTGCCTCTGCCTCCCAAGTGCTGGGATTAAAGGCCTGAGCCACCACCACCCAACCTGTTGTTGGTCTCTTAAGAATCTAATTTCATGTTGTATTTTTGACCTCTGACAAAGTAGGAGGTCTGAAGTAATAGTCTTCCAAAGTTCACTATTGGACTGTTTTCAAAACATATCCCATTTGTAATGGACAAGTGAGAGTAGCCAAGGCCAGGCATTTGGACTGAGAGCTGTGCCGATAGCTGACCTACCTGAATTACTGCTCTTGTGTAGAGCCTTGCCTTTGTTCTCACACGGAAGTGAGTTCTGGGAAACTATGGCTGCCTTGGTCCCAAAAGATGTGTTTGTTGTTGGGTTCCTTTTGCTTAACCTGTGCCAGGCAACTGCTCTGCTCCTGAGCCACCCCCAGCACCAAGGCAACCAGTCTCAGAAGATTTTTTCCCCCTGAAACATGCTCTTGCTGTGTAACCCAGGTTGCCTTGAACTTACTATCGGTTTCTTGGCTTCAGTCTCCTGAGTACTGGGATCACAGGCAGATCTACCATACCCCTCAGTGCCTTCTTTTTTAAAGGCAGTGTCCAGGCTGGCCTTAAATTTGCTGTGTAACTTGAGAATGACCTCAACCTTCTGACACCGTGCCTTCACCTCCCGTGCTGAGATGACTGGTGTGTGCCACGATGCCTGTTTTCTCTTGTAAATTTTATTTATTTTTTTGAGACACTATGTGGCCCTGAAGGTCCTGAAACAGTCTATAGACCAGACTGGCCTTGAACTCACAGTGATCCTCCTGCCTCTGCCTCTGCAGTACAGGGAGGGATCAAAGGGCATGCCACCACACCCAGCAACCATGCCTCATTTTTTGTGGTGCTGGGGATAGGACCCAGGGCCTCAGACATTTTAGGCAAAGCACATTATCAGCCCAGCTACACCTGCAGCCCATCAAAGTTTTTTTCATGGTTTTTCCAAAAACAAACTAAGCTGATAAGGGGTTGCTGAGGTTCAATAGAATCCCTTCCTAACATTGCTCTCTCTCCATTTGCAGTTAAATGAACTGGTAGTGGGAGACACCAGTGGGAAACTGTCTGTGTATAAGAATGATGACAGCCGGCCATGGCTCACCTGCTCCTGCCAGGGAATGGTCAGTATTCATCTCTGCAGGGCTTGGGAAGAAGCTCGGGTGCCTTTGTGGTGGATTGCCAGGGAGTCCCACAAGGAATTCCCTAGCAACTCAGCCCAGTCACTGCTTCAGAGTTTGTTTGACGGTGGGAGGTGGGGGGTTAACCCCAGGAATTGCTCTCATCTGTCCCCCTTTCAAGTCTCCCACAAGACTTTATCTTAGTTTGCTTTCTGTTGCTGTGATAAAGGTCATATACAACTGAATCTCTATTTCATATTCTTGTGGCCTGCAGAACAAAAATAACTTGGGGAGGAAGGAGCTTATTTCAGCTTACAGTTTATAGTCTATCTTGAAGTCAGAAGTCAGGGCAGGATCTCAAGACAGGAACCTGGAAGCAAGAACTCAAGGAGAACATGGAGCTACTTACCTGCCTGCTTTCTTATACAACCCAGAACCACCTGCACAGGGCTGGGCCCTGCCACATCAGCCGTTAATCAAGAAATTGCCTACAAGCAATCTAATGGAGACATGTTCTCGATTGAGGTTTCTCTTCCCATATAACTCTAGCTTGTGTCAATTTGACAGATTAAAAAAGGACAACTATATTGTCCTTTATGTTGTAGAATGAACTTGCTGCCTTATGGAGGCTGCCTAAGATTGTGTGATAGTATGCAGTGCAGTCATGCATGGGTTAACAGCAAGGACGCAGTCTGAGAAATGCATCATTAGGTGACCACCACAGCATTTATATAAGCTAAGACAGTCACTGCATTACCTTAGTTCTATGAGGTGGTGTCTTGCTTTGTAGCTCAGGCTGGCTTCAGACTTTCAGTCCTCCTGCCTCAGTCTCTTAATTGACACCCAACTATGTGATAGGATCTTATAGGTACACCATAATATATGTGATGTGCTGTTGACTAAAATGTCCTTATACAGTATATGACTGTGTAATAAAAAATGGGGATGATAATTGGAATAATCTAGAAGTATGGTAATCAAGCTATTTTCCTGTTTGGTGGGGGCTTTTTGGGGGGTGGGAGGCCTTATAAGACATGGTTTTGCTATATAGCCCTGGCTAGCTTGGAATTCATGACAGTTCTGCCTCAGCCTCCTGAGTGCTGGAAGGGTATAGGTGGGCACCACACAGCTAGATTTTTTTTTCCTTTTTACCTAAGTCTGAATTTTTATCTACTTGGGTCTTCATATTGCTGTATGAATAAACCAAACTATATAACTCAATGTGTTTATTAATAAAGACTATTCAGATAGGTCACCTGACCCAAGCTTTTGGTGATTAGGAAGGACTGGTCTCTCTTGGTGCCACCATCAGTCTTCCTTCCTTTCTTGCAGCTGACTTGTGTTGGCGTCGGAGATGTGTGTAATAAAGGAAAGGTAAGGACTCGGGCATCTCGGGCTGGGCTGGAACTCCAAGACCTCGCCTCCATTGTGACTCCCTGGGAAAGTCAGCTCTGGCCCTTGAGATCTGCTCATCAGCCTCCCTCCCCAACCTGTGCATCTCTCCTGGACCTCTCTCTCCTAGAACCTGGTGGTGGCAGTCAGTGCAGAGGGCTGGCTTCACTTATTTGACCTGACATCCACCAAGGCTCTGGATGCTTCTGGGCACCATGAAACTCTTGGAGAGGAGCAGCGTCCTGTCTTCAAGCAGCACATCCCGGCCAACACCAAGGTCATGCTGATCAGTGACATCGGTGAGCATGAGCAGCTAAGGAGTAGGGACCTAGGGTTGATGTTGAGGGACTGGGCTGAGGGAGAGAGCTGGGTCCATTTTGTACATTTGTTTTGTGTTTACTTTTTCTCTTTTTACTTTGTTTTACTTTATTTTCATTTGTTGTTTGTTTGATGCAGTTACTGAGCTCCTGTTACGAGCTAGGAACTATTCTAGGCTCTAGTGAATAAAGCAAACAAAAATATCACACCATCTTAGATCTTACTAGGAAGAGACAGATAAATTTTATAAAAAAATTAAATAATGAGGCTGGGAATTTGGCTCAGGATTAGAACACTTATCCAGTGTATACCAGGCCTGAGTTCAATCCCAGCCAAAAATCAGTCAATCAATACTATGTTAGAAAGTAGTAAGTGCTGTGGATAAAATAAATCAGAGGGCCAAAGATACCAAGGTAGAGACAGCAATTTTAGAGATTGATTTGTATTTAATTATATGTAGGTTTGTGTGGGGGGGTGTGCACATAAGTGAAGGTCAAATCTCCTGTAGTTGGAGTTACAGGAAGTTGCGAACCACTTGACATGGGTATTCTGAACATAACTAGGGTCCTCTGGAAGAGCAGCAAGTACTCTTAACTGCTGAGTCAGACCCAAGAGGTAGCAATTTTAAATGGAGTTGTCAGGGATTTTTTTTTTATTTTCATTTTTATTTTTTTATTTTTTTTGGTTTTTCAAGACAGGGTTTCTCTGCAAAACAAGTCCTAGCAGTCCTTGAACTTACTCTGTAGATCAGGCTAGCTTTGAACTCAGAGATCTGCCTGCCTCTGCCTCCTGAGTGCTGGGATTAAAGGCCTGCGTCACCACCGCCCAGTATCAGGTTCATTCTTGCTGGAAGGTGGCATTTGGTGAAGAGCTGGAAGTGGCAGGAGAGTAAGCTGTAGAGACATGGGGCTGCTGACTGACCGGAAGCTGTCTAGGTAGTAGGTGTGGGATGGGTCAAGGTGCTATGCCATGGATATAGGAAGCAGAGAGCAGAGATGACGGGCCCTGTGTGGCATTTGAGTGAGAAACTGCATGGGCACAAGGCCAAGCAAGGATGGGCAATAACCACAGGATGTGGTAAATGGCCCCGAAGACTGACATGAGCTGCACTCAACTGAAAGTGCCGGGAATGTCGGCTATGGAAAGGTAGCCATGGCCCAAGCTGACCAGCTCAGGCTTGGCTCCAAATCCATTGTTTCTGTGCCTACAGATGGAGATGGGTGTTACGAGTTGGTGGTAGGATACACAGACCGTGTGGTACGGGCCTTCCGCTGGGAAGAGATGGCTGAGGGGCCTGAACACCTGACAGGGCAGCTGGTGTCCCTCAAGAAGTGGATGCTGGAGGGTCAGGTGAGAAGCAGAGCTTGGGGACCTAAGAGCCCCAGTGAACAGGAAAGGCCTCCCAGAAGAGGCCTGTAGAAAGTGGAGCCCATCTGGGAGGAAAGGAAAATGTCCTTGCTGAGAGAGATCCAGGTCATTTCCAGGGAAGGTCCCAGTGGAGTTCTAGTAACAGGTTGGGAGTGCAAAGAATGGTGCAGAATTCAGTATGTGAAGGTGTGTGGTGGGAGCCAGGTCTGGAGCCAGTGGGACACCCAGCAGAAAGCAGTGGTCTGTGGAGGGGATGGTGCCAGACAAGACTCATGAACCTTAGAACTCCTCCTGTCCCCCTCAAACGAGGGTAATTCTCAGAAGCCCTGCCCTTGGCTCCCCTGGTTCTGGTGACAGAGTCTCCCTTCCTTCCTGATCTGGCCCCCATTAAGACTCTGTTCCTTGGTGCAGGTAGACAGTCTCTCTGTGACCCCGGGGCCTCTGGGTGTGCCTGAGCTGGTTGTATCACAGCCAGGGTGTGCTTATGCAGTTCTACTATGTACCTGGAACAAGGACACTGGCTCCCCTCCTGCCTCTGAGGAGGCCACAGGAGACAGTAGGTAAGGGGGTGGGGTGGTGGGTGCATCCAAGTAGGGACAGGGTGACATGGTGGTGAGGCAGGTCTGCAGGCGCCAGGGCTCTGTCATCTAAGCTGCAGCCCAAGCACTTGACCCCATTAGAGAAGACTGTCTAGGACCGGGAGTCCTGGGCTTTATTAACCTTATAGCATCTGAGCACCATGAACCAGTCTTTGTGGAGATTCCAGTCATTGGATTCTGGACTCAGGACTCCCGCCTGGCAGCCCCATCACCTTCCTTCCATCTGCTGCATGAGTCAGAAAGGGTCAGAGGCGGGCTTCTGAAATGGAAGCTCCTGCAGTGGTGGTGGATATAAAGGGCCTAGAGAACTCAGCTGCCTTGGCCTCCCAGTGACCCAGTCTCCTTTACCCACAGGGAAACCCCGGCTGCCAGGGACATAGTGCTGCACCAGACGTCTGGCCGGATCCACAACAAGAACGTCTCCACTCACCTGATTGGCAACATCAAACAAGGTAAGGGAGGAAGGAGCTGAAGAACAAGGCAGTTCTGGGAGAAAGGAGACCCAGGGCTCTGCCCTCATTCCTTCTCCATCGCCCCACAGGTCATACCCCTGAAACTGGTAACTCAGGCCTCTTTGCCCTGTGCACCCTAGATGGTGAGTAGTCCTGGGCTGGGTGAGGTGGGTCTCTGCCTAAGGGGGTCTGCTCAAAGGCCCAGCACACACACATGTACTTACACCACCACCACCACCACCACCCCCCCACACACACACATGTACACAGCCCACACACGCGCCACCTCTCTTCCTGTAGGGACGCTAAAGCTGATGCAAGAAGCAGATAAGCTGTTGTGGTCTGTACAGGTGGATCACCAGCTTTTTGCCCTGGAGAAGCTGGATGTCACGGTGAGTGGACTTTTTCCCTTTTTGAGATTCATTCACTTATTTTATGTGTATAGATGTTTTGCCTGTATATATGTGTGTGTGCCACATGTGTGCCTGGTGCCCACAGAGGCCAGAAAAGGGCATCCGATCCCCTAGAACTGCAATTCCAGATGGTTGTTAGCCACTTTGTAGGTGCTGGGAATCAAACCCAGGTGCTCCAGAAGGGAACCAGTGTTCTTAATTGCTGAGCCATCATTCCAGCCCCACAAGAAGACATTTAAATGCAGCTGTTCTCACATCCTAGTCAACAGTAAGCCTTTATCTTAGACCTGAAACGAGTGTGTCCCTCTATTTACACTCAAGTATGCCCTTATAGCACAGACTTTAATACCTCTCTATGAGGATACTAGAAAATCATTCTCCTCCTTTCAGCCAAAATAATAGCCCTAAAGAGAGCAGGCTATAGGTCTAGAAGTGGGCAATTAGTCAGGAATATAGCTAGCTGTATCTTGTGGGGTCTTTTCTTGTCCATGAGTCTATTTGTTACCACGGTAGCCCTCAATTGACAGATGGAACTACTTTGGTCACACTACCATGGTATGTGCTGGATGGCTTTGACTAGTAGAACAGACCCCTGTCTGTGACCCTGGGCAAGTGGCTTTATCCCTCTAAGAAGAAATTTCCCAGTATAAAACTGAGAATAATGTCTGCATCATAGTGTTGCTTTGAACGTTATTAAAGTAGATTACTGAGTGCCCTGTTGAGCACTTGGCGCATGGAAGAGAAACCCCAGTTTACAGTTTGCCACCCAGAGTCCAGCTCCAGGTCCTTCCTATCTTAATGCCCCACCCCAGCATCAGATCTTCTGTTCTTTTCCGACACAGGATCTTGCTGTGTGCTGTGGAGCTCAGGCTGGCCTCTGCCTCCCAAACCCTGAAATGACAGGTGTGTGCCACTGCATCTGACTAGGAATTAGCCCCTAACCCTTCTGGCACCCTGTCTTTGACCTTTTTCAGGGCAATGGGCTTGAAGAGGTGGTGGCGTGTGCCTGGGATGGGCAGACATATATCATCGATCACAACCGCACCGTGGTCCGCTTCCAAGTGGATGAAAATATCCGTGCCTTCTGTGCAGGTGGGACAGCGGCCTCTAAGCTCAGCTACTCAAGCTTAGTAAATGTGCTGCCAAGTGACTGACTGTTCCCATTCATTGTAGCCCGATAGACATCTTCATACACGATGGCTTCCTTCACTTTCATTGGTGGGTGATGGGTATCCCGCTGCCATCTTGACTGGTGGTTTTTCAATTTGGAAGGGAAATTTTATATGTTTTTATGTGTCTGAGTGTTTGCCTGAGTGTATGTCTATGTACCATGCCTGTGCAGTGCCCACAGAAGCCAGAAGAGGGCATCACGTCCCCAGGGCTGGCTTTACAGACGGTTGGGTGTTAGGAATTGAACCTGGTCTTCCGAAAGAGGGGCCAGTGTACTGACCTGTCTCGCCAGCCCCATCGTGGCAGTTTGGAATGAGACGTAAAGCACAGTGAGAACTCCATCTCAAAATCTGTAAAAATGGGATGACTGTGGGAGGGTGTTTCCAGCTGAACATGCCAGGCTGAAGAAAATGCTTCAGAGTAATCTCTGTAATCCTGAACTGGGGACTTTGGAAAGCTGTGGTAGCCATTTGGGTGACAGGGATATATCTGGCTACTAAAATGGCAATGGGCTGACAGTATAGCTTGGTGGTAGAGCCTTGGCTGGCATGTACAAAGCTGTGGGCTCAGTCTCCAGGACCCCAAAATAAATGGAAGGAGCTGGAAAACACCCCAGATACCTGAAAGATTGCTGTGTGCTTTGGAAGAAAGAAACAGGCCAAGACAAGCCTTTCTCTCTAGCTACCTTGTTAACCTGCCCCTTGCATTGGCAGGGCTTCCTCTCTTACTCCAGACTATCACTGAGATGAAAAGACCTGTAAATACATCTTTTGGGGTGCTGACTGTGTCTTTTCCATATCTAGAATGCACTATATGTTTTACCATTTTATGTATTATACTGAGTTCTTCACAGAGAAGAAATAGGAAAAGGCTTTTGTTGATTGATATTTGTGGAGGGTTAATACTGCTGCCTCTGATGTCTTTTTGTCCTTGGCCTCCTCCCGACACCAGGTCTAAGTCTTGACCTTTGTCTTCTTGCCCCCATCTCCCAGGCCAGTATGCCTGCAAAGACGGCCACAACAGCCCCTGCTTGGTATATGTCACTTTCAATCAGAAGATCTACGTGTACTGGGATGTGCAGCTGGAGCGGATGGAGTCCACTAATCTGTTGAAGCTGCTGGAGGCTGAGCCTGAGTACCACAGCCTGCTGCAGGAGCTGGGTGTGGGTGAGTGTCAACAAAGCCAGTACCCTGCACCCGGAGGCCCAACAGCCTCTCACCAGTCTCTTCTTGGCCTTCAGATCCTGATGACCTCCCTGCAGTCTGTACCCTGCTTCAGCAGACTCTCTACCACCCGGACCAGCCACCACAGTGCACCCCCTCAGGCTGCCAGGACCCCACCTAGCTGGGCTTGGCCAGTTAGCTGGTGAAGGATCCTTGATCTTGGCAGGATGGGAAGTGTATATTACAGTGGAGTGGGACGTTACTCTCGGCATGGAAGGATGGCGGCACCCCTGAAAGCCTTTGATGAATGCCCCGTGGTCACCACCTGGATCCCAGGCTTGTAAATCACCCGGGCCCTGTGCTTCCCTCCTCCTGTCCTTACTCTCATTGTGGAAAACAGACTCGTTTGTGAGAAAAGGCAGCAAACCTTTTCCATGGTGCCAGCACCTGAAAGGACACCAGGATTCAGGCCTGAGGGACTAGGGGAGCAGCGGAGGTGAGCCCCACCCCTCCTGCTCCCGCTGAGTGCCTTTCACAGCTTAGCTCCAGGCAGCTGACAGCAGTAATTATTACAGGAATGGCAGTGTTTGTTTAAGGGCATCTTTCAAGACATGTTCCTGTCTCATCTTCCTGTATTCTTCCAGTTGTTGAAGCAACTAGGTCAGGGCTTTCTCATTTTGTCATTGTCTCTCTGTCTTTCTCTTTCTCTCTGATTTTGGTGGTGATGGTGGTTGGTTGGTTTTTGTTTGTTTGTTTTTTTGTTTTGTTTGTGTGTATGTGTCTGTTCAGAAGTGGAGCCCAGGGCCTTGCACATGCTAGCCAAGCACTTTGCTATTCAGCTACACCTCGGCCCTGCCATATTCTAAAGTTTTGGTTTTTTGTTTTGTTTTGTTTTGGTTTTGGTTTTTTGAGACGGTGAAACAGTCCTGGCTATCCTGGAACTCTGTAGACTAGGCTAGCCTGGAACTCACAGAGATCTGCCTGGCTCTGCCTCTCGAGTGCTGGGATTAAAAGCATGCGCCACCATTGTCGGGCTGTTCTAAAGTATTGTGCTGCTTGAGAGCTTCCCAAGTACTCTACTGTCTATAAAAAAGTAGACACCTTGCTGGGCGGTAGTGGCACACGCCTTTAATCCTAGCACTCGGGAGGCAGAACCAGGCGGATCTCTGTAAATTTGAGGCCAGCCTGGTCTACAAAGCGAGATCCAGGACAGGCACCAAAACACCACAGAGAAACCCTGTCTCGGGGAAAAAAAAAAAAAAAAAAAAAAAAAAAAAAAAAAGTAGACACCTGCAGCTTGTCCTCTGATATGTGCCAATGTAATCCCAGTACTTGGGAGGAAGATCATAAGTTCAAGGCCAGCCAAGGCTCCATAGCAAGTTTGAGACCATCGTGGGTCACATTTGGAGATTTTATCTTAAAAATCCAAACAGAAAAGACATTAACAATCAGTACTGTAATTAGAATTATATAATTGAGCCAGGCATGGTGGCACACACCAGTTTGAGACCATCGTGGGTCACATTTGGAGATTTTATCTTAAAAATCCAAACAGAAAAGACATTAACAATCAGTACTGTAATTAGAATTATATAATTGAGCCAGGCATGGTGGCACACACCTTCAGTCCCAGCACTTTGATGATAGAGGCTGGTGGATCTCTTTGAGTTCAAGGCAGCCTGATCTACACAACAAGTTTCAGACCAACCGTAGTAAGACCCTACCTTAAAAAAAAATATAGTTTATGCCATTTATGTTTTTATCTGCTCATTATTGTGTGTGCTATGAGTAAGTATTTTTCCAGTTACAGGTGAGAATCCTTTGATGGATTGTGGCTAGGGTTTGTATGTTATATGTGTGTACATATACATTTACCCATGCACACATGGGTAATGGAATATAGAGGTCAAAAGAGGATGTCCAGTCTCCTGCATTCTTTCCCTCCACTTTATTCCCTTGAGACAGGGTCTCTCACTGAACCTGAGGCTTGCTGCTTCATAAAGCCGGCTGATCAGTAAGACAAGTGATCTACTGTGTCTGCACTTCACAGTGCTAGGGTTACAAGCATCTGAGCAGCATTTTTGTTGGTTTGTTTGTTTTTGTTTTTTGTTTTTTGTTTTTCGAGACAGGGTTTCTCTGTGTAGCTTTGTGCCTTTCCTGGAACTCACTCTGTAGCCCAGGCTGGCCTTGAACTCACAGATCCACCTGCCTCTGCCTCCCGAGTGCTGGGATTATAGGCGTGTGCCACCACCGCCCAAGCAGCATTTTTTTACATATATATATATATAATTTATTTTTATTTTATGTTCACTGGTGTTTTGTCTGTATGTATGTTGGGGTAAAAGTGTCAGATCTTGGAACTGGAGTTACAGACATGTGTGAGCTGCCATGTGGGTGCTGGAATTGAACCTGTTACATGGGTGCTGGGCTTGAATTCGGGGTCTCATGCTTGTGTGGCAAGTGCTCTTCTCTTCCCCACTAAGCCATCTCCCCAACCCTCAGGGCTTTTGAACTAAACGAAATGGAGTAAAATAAAATGGAGGATGTTAGAGTCCATTGCTCACAATGGAGGTAAATACTGATTTGTTGCAATTGTGTGTGTGTATTTGTGCAGCACATACAGTGTGATTTGTACTTCACAAGCCTGTATTCCAGCTTGAGAGAGGGACTCCATTCACACTTGCCCTGTGGGTCTGAGGGCAGAGGTACTGTGAGCTCCTGGAGGTAAGAGGAAGAGACCAGAGAAGAACATGGCTTAGAGAACCAGTGTTTATTCTAATGCAGAAGCAGGTTAAGGGCCTGCCCTGGGCCAGGTCTGCCATTTCAGCAGCAGTAGGAGGCAAACTGGGGAAGGAGCATAGGTCTCGAAGCAAGGTGATGAGGGGGTGAGGATGAGACCAGGTACCATGGCACTTACACTAAGCTGGCCTGCTCTTGAAAGTAAAGAAAGTGAGGCTGTGTCCTGGTTCCTCTTTGGTCTACCCTAGGCTTAGTATTTAGTTCCCATGTAAGGGACCTGGTTCCCTAGTTCGGGTTAGGTATACCATGTCTCTCTTCCTCTAACCATGATTTGAGAATCAGCCCAGCCAGAAAGACACTCACACATCTGCAGCCCAGAAAAGACAATGACTGAAAGTGCTCAGCTCAGGGACTGGACCTTCCTAGACAAACAGTCCTACTTACTTGTCACTCCCACCCAACTTTAAACAGATGGGTGCAGGTGCCAGGAGGGGCTGGCAAACAGGCTGGGAGTCTGGGTCAGAGGTGGGAGATTAGTGGTAAGGGCAGTGGAGGAGTGCTTGGGTTGGACTTCAGACAGGTGGAGGCAGCAGGTGACCTTGACCCCCACAGCCAGGACAAAGTCCATTTTCCTTTTTTTTTTTTCAGAGCTGAGGACCGAACCCAGGGCCTTGCACTTGCTTAGGCAAGCACTCTACCACTGAGCTAAATCCCCAGCCCCAAAGTCCATTTTCCATAGGTCCTTTTCTGTAACTGACTTGGCTATGCTCTTGGGAAGGGATAAGAGAGAAGGGGGAAGCCAGGACCTTGGAGTCATAGATACTCAGTAGGAACTCCTGGGGCAGAGGGCAGCTATGGAGAAGCAGAGACGGGGGTGGCAACTGCGAGATCAGGGTGGTGAGAAAAGAGACTAATGCGGTGGTCTCCAGATGCCCTGCTCAGGTAACGTCCCACTCCACACCACTCTTCCCCTAAGGCACGGTGTCGCCCTAGGGACTGGCTGAGACAGTGGTCACTGGCCAGGCTCTTGGTACAGAGGCAGGAAGGGCAGCTCCGAGAATGGGGCTTTCAGCCGAAGCACTCCACGGTCCAGGTCAATGCAGCACTGCCATGGGGACCCCAGATGTGTGGTCACCTCCCTGCCAGCTCACACCTGCACCCCTTCCTTTGCCTCCCCTTGCTCCCATGCCCCTGCCCCTTCAGAGAGGGAACCCATTCTCTTGACTTTACTTTTGGGACTAATTAAGTAAGTTCCAAGTTTCACACCTCTCCATCTTCCTCGACAGCCTACTTTGGGCCTCCACCTTGAGCCTTCCACCTCTCCTAGAATTTTGGGTCAGGCCCAAGCATGGGTGCCTTACCTTAAGGGAAAGCAGAGTCTGCAGTCCCAGGCAAAATTCAGGGCTGTCCACATCTGCAGGAACCATTGGAAAATAAGGTTGCATCTCTGACTGATGACCTCCTCTGAGCACTCACCCCTTTCCTTCCCAGTCCACCCCAAGGTTGAGAACAGCAGAGTGGCTAATAATCTGAGCGTCTTGGGACTGTGTGCTGACAAGCTGAAAACCTCTACCCTTGTCCCGTGCAGAAGAGGTGAGAGGCTGGAGGACTTACCCACCACCTGGGCCGAGCATGCCACAGTCTCCGGCCCCAGCTCTAGCTCCAGCTGTTCCACCTGACCTGGTGGCCCAGGTGCCAGGTCCCCACCTGGGGCTTTTGGGACCCTCTTCCCTAACCTGTGATTAGAAAGCAAGGGTTATAGCCACCACAGTCCCTGCTCCTAGCCCCTCACTGTTAAAAAGCCAATACTGATCTATGCTCTCTTCCAGTCCCTGACCTAAGCGAGGCTCCACCCTTTCCTGCCAGAGCCGCCTGACCAACCTCCCCCCACTTAAAAACAATATGTACTGAGATACAGTTTGTATGCCATCACATTCATTTTTGGTTGTTGGTTTTGTTTGGGTTGGTGGGGGAAAGCTTTGTTTTTTGAAACAGTCTTGTGGAGCTTGGGCTGTCTCATACATCTTATGTAGCCAAGGCTGGCCTTGGGTTCCCAGTTTTCCTTTACCCCCAGATGTTAGGTTTACAGACTTGAGCCACCAGGCCCAGCAAAATTCACTTCATAAAAGTGTGCAATTCAGTGCTAGGCATAGTGGCACACACCCTTAGTCCCAGCACTTGGGAGGCAGAGGCACTCGGATCTCTGAATTCTAGGCCAGCCTGGTCTGCATAGTGAATCCTTGTCTCAAAAATTAACAAAAAGTGTACAATTCAGTGGTGTTCAGTAGTACGTCAGAGTGCAACCATCTTCACTAGATACTGGGAAGGATTTCATCACCCCAAAAGAAACTCCATCCCAAACCCAAGTGTGGCCTGTAGTCTCAACACAAACCACACACAGGAGGCTGAGGCAGAGGTTGTTGAATTTGAGTCCAGTCTAGTAAAAAACAAAGGAGGGGAAGGAAATCCCACCCCTGCCCCCTGGTTTAGGCCACACTCTTACCCCAGGCGCCTGAGGCATCCAGCAGATATCTGATTATGCTGGGTCCCTGTGTCCACAGCCACTCGAAGCATCTGGTCCTGGCACTAAAAATGAAAGAGTGATGGCTTGATGAGTCCCCCAGGAGGGGACTGGGCCCTTTGATCATTCCCTTTTAGAGATGGGTGGAGGGAATGAACAAGTTCTCAAAAGTGAAACTGACTCCCAAAAGGGAATCAAGCCAGGTGGTGGTGGCAGCGCAAGCCTTTAATCCCAGCACTCTGGAGGCAGAGGCAGGCGGATCTCTGTGAGTTCGAGGCCAGCCTGGTCTACAGAGTGAGTTCCAGGACAGGCTCCAAAGCTACTCAAGAGGAACCCTGTCTCGAAAACAAACAAAAATAGTTGTGTTCCACACGGCGAGTCCACTAAGTTGAGAAAGATCTGGGCCAGAATGGCCATCTTGTTCGTTTAGAGGAGTCATGGGGAGGTTGAGGGCCTCCTCCTCCTGGTCAAAGAGCTGCAGGTCATGAGGAGGCCAAGAGGACAAAGCTCTTGTGCACACACTCAGATTCGGGTGACCAAGAATGGAAGTTCACTGTCTTGGGATACTGGCAGGCATGAGGGTGAACACATGGATACATACACAAGGAAGTAAGTTTTCTTGTTCCAAACATTTATTGAGCATCTACTGTGTAAGATGTATGACTAGTAGATACTTTAGTGAATGCTATCCCTCAGCAGTGTAAAAGAGATGAAGTATGACTCCACATTGTAAGGTCTATAGAAGGATCGTGGATTGAGTGCCTCAGAGCTTGGAGAGGACAAGGAGCTGTTTCCTGCTGGACAGAGAATAGCTTTCAAGGAGGAGGCAGCATCTGAGCTGAGCCTTAAAAAATAAGAGTGTGGACAAGGGATGGTTGGAGATCAGGAAATAAGACTTCTGGGCAGAGGCAGTGGACATTGATTGGGATGTTCCACTAGCAAGTGGGTGCTCCAGAGATGAGGAGCCTTGGGGCTCCAGAGATGGCTCAGTGGTTAGGAGTGTTTGCCACGCTCAGAGGACCTGAGTCAGCTCACAGCTGCCTGCAACTCCAGCTCCAGGGGATCCAACAGCCTCTCTGGCCACTGCACACACACATGACATCACAAACACATACATTTTAAAAAGTAAAATTTTTCTCACCTTGGAATATGGGCCTTTTGTACTCGGGCATACTTTCCCAATGTGTGCAGCACAGTAAAGGATACTCACATTGAAATATACTTTGATAAACGCGTGGGAGCATGGTACGGCTGACGGATGGCATTACACGGAGAAGACAGGCAAGACGGACAGGAAAGCGGATGCGGGGACAGAAAAGGAGAGAAATGACTTCTCTCCACCTTTTGGCAGCCAAGGCAGAAAGGAGAGCTGGGGAAGTGAGCAGGCTCAGCAGGCAAGTGGAAGAACCCTGGGAGACCTCTTACCTTGCAGTTGACAAGAAGAGCTGGAACCTGTGTCCCACTGGTCCTGCTGCTGTCATGGCCGTGGATCAGTGTCTGCACCAGGGGAGACTCGCCCTGCAGCCGCCTCTGGTTTCCCTCCACCAGGCGTCTTTGGATCACGCTGTGTGGCTGCTGGCTCCATCACAGAACAGTGAAAGCAGATCTAAGCCCAGGATCCAGGTTGCTTGCTTCCCGACCTTATGCCTTGCAAACCACAGGATGCTTGTCCCAGCTCTACCCCAGATCAGAGGAGCAGTAAGAAAGTAGCTGAGGGGTGGCTCAGCAGGCAAGAGCGCTGGCTGCTTTTCTAGAGGACCTGGGTTCGATCCCTAGCACCTACCCAGAGGCTCGTAACTAATTTCAGTATGGTGCAAGCCTTGCATTGGTAGAAGAACAGGGGTGTCATCCTAGCAATTGGGAAGCAGAGGAAAGAAAATCGGGAGTTCAAGGTCATCCTCAGTTATGTGCTAAGTACGAGGCCAGCAGGGCTTGAGTGGCTCAAAGGGAAGATATTTTTCTAAAGATAGAAGCAGAGTGTCCAGGGTAGAATAATGAGCCATCATTCTTGACCTCTCATCTGCAGCCACCCGCATCCATCCGATCACTGCTTGTATTCTGCCAGCTCAGCTTCCTGTCTTTGTAGGGACACCTGATGTGTCCAGACTCCCACAATTCTCTTGGGCCATTGGACACCTTTGCTCACTCACAGAAAAGCCTGCCTCCAAGATTTATCTTTCTACACTGACTTAGCTAAAGCCCTGCTACTTGCAGTGTGGTCCGCAAGTCAACATATATAGAATTTTAAGACACACACACACACACACACACACACACACACGTATATGTATATATACATATATATAGAGAAAGATGGAGATGAATGGATAGATAGAAAGCTAGAGAGACAGAGATGTAGCTATAGATAGATATAGATATAATTTTATGTGCATGAGTGTTTAGCCTATATGAATGTCTGTACACCATATGCATGCCTGTGCCCATGAAGTCCAGAAGAGGGCATCAGATACCCTGGAACTGGAGATACAGATGATTGTGAACTGCCACGTGGGTGCTAAAAATAAAACCTGTGTCCTCTGCAAGAGTGCTCTTAACTCAGCCATCTCTCCTGCCCTAAATCAACAGTTTTAATGACATTCTTTTTGTTTTGTTGTTGTTTCATTTGGTTTGTTTTTTTTTTCCTTATTAAGAAATTTTTTTGTTCGTTTTACATACCAATCACAGATCCCCCTCTCTTCCCTCCTCCCCTGCCCCTTAATGACATTCTAAAGCCTGTCTAAATGCAGAGCCTCAGACCTCCTGAATCAAGGAGCTTCTTGTTTTCTGGTGCATGGATTTAAACCCAGGAGCTTGCACGTGCCTGGCAAATGCTCTATCACTCAGCTGCTCCCCTGGCCCTGAGTCTTCATTTTGTTTTGGTTTGTTGGTTTGGTTTGGTTTTTGTTGTTGTTGGTTTGTTTGTTTTTGAGACAGGGTTTCTCTTTGTAGGTTTTGGTGCCTATCCTGGAACTCGCTCTGTAGACCAAGCTGGCCTCCAACTCACAGCAATCCGCCTGCCTCTGCCTCCCGAGTGCTGGGATTAAAGGCATGCGCCACCACCGCCTGGCCAAGTCTTCTTTTTGTTTTATGACAGGATCTTACTCTGTAGCCTGGCTGACCTGGAAATAGCTCTATAGACCAAGCTGGCCTTGAACTCACAGACATCCACCTGCCTCTGCCTCCCAAGATCTAGGATTAATGACATATGCCATCAAACCCAGCCTCTAGTCTTTGCACATTAAGGTTTGAGAAATGCTTAAGTAAAAGGTAAAAATAACTGTATAAGCTAGATGTGGTGGTGTGTACCTAGACATTTCCAATGTTCAGAAGGCTGAGGCAGAAGAATAGCCATGAGTTCAAGCTCACCGAAGGCTGTTTGTTTGTTTGTTTAAAGGAAGTAACTGGTGTGGTGGTGCACACCTTTGATCTCGGCATTCAGGAGGCAGAAAGAAGTGAATCTCTATGAGTTCAAGGTCAGAGTCTACAGAGTAAGATCCTGTCTTGAAAAAAAAAATTGTAAGCGTTATTCTCCTGTATGAAATGTGTCACACATACACATATACGCACACATAGTGACAGCCTGTTTTCATTTTTTGTTGTTACTTTTCTTTTAGTTTCTTTGCTTGCTTGCTTGCTTTGGTGTTTATTTTGAGGCAGGATCTCTCTATGTAGCTAGCCTTGACTGTCTGGGAAGTTGATATGTGGGCCAGGCTGGCTTTGAACTCACAGAGATCTACTTTATTTTTCCTCCCAAGTGTTGGGATTAAAGGTGTGAACCAGTACACCCAGTTCTGTATTTCCTAACCTGATCCCTAGATGACCTGGCAGCTGTCTGTCTGCATAATCCACACACACTGCTTTCCTGCTCTGGTGACACTACTCCTCTTGCCTGGCCAGCCTGTTTCACCCCAAGCTCCACCCCTGCTCACCTCTCTGCTGGAAACCCTCCTCCGAGTTCTCCCTAGGCCAGTCTGCAGGCATAGCTCTCCCACTCTATTGAGTAGAAGGGCCTTGCTTCCTACTCTGACTGCAGGCCTGGCCTCTGGGTTATACTGTCCCCCCTCTTCCTTCTTCATAGCTCATTTGGTCATGGTTCTCACAGATGGTATTTTTGGCTTTCACCCCCACCACAGCCTAGAAAGGCCTTCAAGTCAGATCTGTCTTGCTCATCTTTCTGTCCCAGGGCCTAGTTCAGCATATAAGTGGCTCCTTGGCTTGGAGATTTGGGGTGGCTCAGTCATAGAAAACTGGCCTAGCATGCACAAGGACCCATACCCAGTACTACAAATAAAGAAAAAGGAAAAAGACACAAAATAAAGTGGTTGGCTTTAGTGTCAAATGGTAGCTCACTCCTGTAATCACAGCACCCAGGAGGCAGAGGCAGGAGGATCACCACAAAGATGAGGTCAGCCTGGTC